GAAAGGCAGAGTTACAGAGGGGCAGAGGCAGAGAGAAGAGAGAGAGAGAGAGATCTTCTGTCCACTGGTTCACTTCCCAAATGGCAGCAATGGCCAGAGCTGAGCTGATCCAAAGCCAGGAGCCAGGAGCTTCTTCTGGTCTTCCACACAGGTGCAGGGTCCCAAGCACTTGGACCGTTTTCTACTGCTTTCCCAGGCCATAGCAGAGAGCTGGATCAGAAGTGGAGCAACCAGGACTCAAATCGTGTCCATATGGGATGTCGGCACTGCAGGCAGTGGCCTTACTCGCTATGCCACAGCGCCAGCCCCTCTGTGTGCCTTTTAATGTAGGGACAAACTCTGAGTGTGCAGCAGGGCCATACAGAGCACCACTGCAGTGCAGCCTTTGCTGCCGTCTCTCTCACTAGGAAAGGCTCAGCTATGCGCAGCGTCGTGTCAACAGGTGTATAAATAAGGAAGAGAGAGGCTATGCTTTATAAAGAACTCCTGTTGAATAGAAGTGTAAAGGGAGTTACATATGCAATTTAAAATGTTCTAGTAGTCAAAAAGAAACAGATGGAATTCATCTCTGTTATTCAACCTAATAGATCATTTTACCATGTGGAAATGTTTCACATCTTTCTTTCCCTGCTGAATCTTCAAAGTCGTATATCTTAGAACACAGCTCAGACAAGTTGCATTTCAAGTGCTTCGTAGCTGCGTGTGGCAGGTGGCTACTGTATTGACAGTTTAGCATGATTTCTATACAACTCCCACCAGACACTCAGCACAGTGTACTGATTTTGAGCTGGATCTAGATTCAGATTCCAGCTTTGGCTCTGGCACTACATTTAACTATTCTTAAAACCTTTACTGGCCAGCGCCGTGGTTCACTAGGCTAATCCTCCGCCTTGCGGCGCCGGCACACCGGGTTCTAGTCCCGGTCGGGGCACCGGATTCTTTCCTGGTTGCCCCTCTTCCAGGCCAGCTCTCTGCTGTGGCCAGGGAGTGCAGTGGAGGATGGCCCAAGTGCTTGGGCCCTGCACCCCATGGGAGACCAGGAGAAGCACCTGGCTCCTGCCTTCGGATCAGCACAGTACACCGACCGTGGTGGCCATTGGAGGGTGAACCAACAGCAAAAGGAAGACCTTTCTCTCTGTCTCTCTCTCTCACTGTCCACTCTGCCTGTCAAAAAAAAAAAAAAACCTTTACTACATGTTTTCCGAAATCATACAGTGTATTTCTAAAGTGTGACATACATGATGTTTGCTAGGCTAGGTGCAGGAAATGCATTTTTGACTTTCAATATTTTCCACTCACCGTGGGTTTCTCAGGGTATAACTCCATTGTGAGTTCAGGACTGTCTGTGCAGTGTTATTTTAGTGTTCTAGTTATTGTAGGACCCAGTGATGTAAGGACTCCGTTCCACCCGGGTGAGGGCTGGTGGTGGTCAGGAGGGGCTTCCTCAGAAGCTGAGGCTGGAGCTGTCTTTTGGAAGAGGAGGTAGATGAAGGAAGAGACATTGGAGGAGGAGAAAGGAGCAAAAGCAGAGGCAGGGGGCGTGCAGCAGCACTGCTCTGAAACTTGCTTAGTTGTTGGGATGGCCCGGAGCAGGGACGTGAATGCATGTCTGAAAGACTGGTGTTTCTGCTGTCAGTCCAGCATGCAGGGTTCACTCAGCCTGTTCAGAGAGCTCCCTGGGCTGCCCCTGCCTCTTGCTGTGCTCTGTGGAGCCTACTCTAGATGCAGGAGCGTTCCTGCAGGCTGAAGGCTTCTCTGGATGAGGCCAAGCACTGGGTTCTTGGGGAACCCCTGGCTCTTCTGGTGTGGCCTCCTGACAGCATCCACACATGGATGAGGCATGGTCAAAGAACTCAGGGAAAATTTGTGTAATGAAAAAACTGTGTGTGTTTCAAAGATTTTTTTCTTTTGCACCAAAATACTTACCTTTTCCATTTTTCTGCGCACTTATGTGAAGCACCTTGTATATATCCAGTCTTCACATACTTTAGCTAGAGTACTCCTCAACTTTGCTTATATTCTTACTTTGCATCTGTATTAACGTAATGCCACTTTCTACCTTTCTTTCACAATGGGTAGTGTGATTCCAACTGGTCTACTAACCCGAGTCTGTTACATTTGCGGCAGCTTTATAAGCAGTGGCTCTCAGCACTCTGCTGATGGTGGTTTTCTTTTCCTGTTACTGTCAGTGCTGCTCTTCAGGGGTTGCCATCTGAACTGATGCATTTGCCTTTGACACGATACTAGAACAAAATATGAGTCTGTTTCAAACTGGGAAATGGAATCGAAAAGTAAGTTGACTTTGGTGCAAAAGAATATTTACATATACCTAGTTTTTTCCTAGTACATGTTTTATGTAAACCATTTGAAGACCCACATAGGTATGAATTTCAGATTTTTTTTTTGCACCAAAACTTACTTTTAGTTCCATTTTCCTCGAACATTTTGAAGCCCCCTCACGAGTCACTGCTGGAACATGCAGAGTGCCTTTGGATGTCGGGTTTACTCTGCTTACCTTTCTCTTCGTGGAGTTTGTCACCACTCCATTTAGTCACAAGGGTGATTTGCTCCCATATCTTCTCCTTGCACAAGTAATTTTAAAAAGTCAGGAATAAAGAACAGCTGAATGGCACTAAAACAACATCAGCAAAGTTTATTTTGCAACCGGCTGCTCTTTCATGCAAAAAACAAAGCACTTTATGGTAGGCTGCTGGTTTAATGGGTCTCCTAGTGGGAGGGAAAATAATTTAAACCCTTTCCTACTTCTCTCACAAGAAAACACATTTTGCGAACACGTAAATTTTCTGCATCCAGGGTACTCACGTGACATGTATCCTGTTGGTCTTTAGTTTCAGTAGTCGGTGTATACCTCAGATTGCATGGTAGTGGTAGGGTAATCGTGCTGTTTGTTCTAGGGTGGTGTTCATGGCAGGGGTGGGGCTAGGGGTAGGTTGTAAGACAGATGGGTTGTTAAATATATGAGGGAACTTCAAAAAGTTCGTGGAAAATGGAATCAAAAGATAAATTTATTTGATGTAGAAAAGTTTTGAAATCCGTGTGTGTGAGGAGTCTCTAAGACGTTTATAAAAAATGCACATTGTTAAAAAACTGCACAGTTTTCAAATCATTTTTGACCAAAATAAACTTCCTCCTTTTAATTCTGTCTTTCCCTGAACTTGAAACCATATTTATTTGAGAGAGATAGAGGAAGAGAAAGACAGAAAAAGAGAGTGTTGCCACCAGCTGGTTCACTCCCCAAATGCCCACAACAGCTGGGAATGGGCTGGGGCTGGATCCAGGAGCTGGGATCCCACCCCAGGTTCCCACGTGGCTGGCAGGAAGCCAACTAACTGAGCTATCACTGCTGCCTTCCAGTGTGTCCTGGCAGGAAGCTGGGGCCAGGACTCCAACCCAGACGCTGCTCTGTGGGGCGTCGGCATCCTACTTGGTGTCTAAACGCACACCACTTCCATGAACTCTGTGACGCGCCCTTGTGTTCTTAGAAGTAACCGTTCCCGTGGTTGCATCTGTCGTGCAGCTCTGACTTGCTTCCTTTCCTTAGTGTGAATGCTGCCTTCCCAACTCACGAGGGCTCCTGTGCGTCTCGATCCTGCATTCCCCCACGTCCCTGCAACTTGCCCCTTCCTTGTTCTGCTCTGCTTTTGATTTCCCCTGCCTTCTTAGAGACCAGCATTCTGATCCTTCCCTTTTGCTCTCTTGTCTTTGTCTTGGCTTTCTGCGGCATTTGTGCTTTTACAAAGACATGTGCTCTACATGGGGAAGCTGAGGGGGTTAGGTTCGCAGTCAGGGGTACGCGTGTGGCACAGCAGCCACAGCACCAGTTGGGACCTGCATCCTACATTGTCCGGGGAGGCCACAGGTGATGGATCATGTAGTTGGGTCCCAGCCACCCGCATGGAGATCTGGATTGAGTTTCTGGTTCCTGGCTTCCAGTTCTTGGATGTTGCAGGCATTTCAGGAGTGAACCAGCAGATGGGAGCTTGATCTCTGTCCTTAGAAATAAATAAAATTAAAAAATAAAATTGACAAATCCAGTTAAAATTAAAAAGAAAATTGAGAAGGTATGTGTCGGCCCTTCCAAATGTTAGAGATAATTTGTCTTTTAGTTACTGCTGATGATAAGTTGGAGTGGAAGTAGTTGATATTATTGCCCAGACCATTGAAGCTACTCAGGAAATGATGTGTATTTGAGAATAAATAGTTTTTTCTGAAAATTCATTTGTTTCACAATTATTGGGTTTTCCAGTCTTGCCTAATTTCTTGTTTGGAAAACTTTTGAAATTGCCATCTTGTAGGTAAAATCTGGTTGAAATTCAGCAATTTGATATGAGTCAGTCTCATAATAGCAGGTAGCATTTGGGATTAAAATTCGTGTCTTTTCTACCACCTAACAGTCAATCTTCATGTTGGCAGTTTAGGAAGAAAATAGCTTTTGCTGATGTTTTTTGAAGCAGAGTTTTCTTAATGACTTATATTAGACTGTAGGACTCACAGTCGCTGTGGCTTCTGATTTCTTCTGAAATAGGAAATAAGAAGCATGAGAGAGTCTAAATTTGGCTCAGTTAAAGAAAACGAAGATCTCTGAAGCAGACACAGTGATTTGTGTATCAGAGCCCTCCTGCCCCTGCCAGAGGCTGTGTCTGAACTCCTTAAGAAGCTTCGTGTGTCTGCTGTATTTCAGAATCTGCTTTCCGGTCATTAACCACTATAGGGTTAGATAGAAAGAAATTGAAGTCATTTCATCCTTTGAGGATTAACCTGAAAATAAGATTAAGTATCTCTAAGATCTGGGCTCAGCCAAGGCATAAATGGGGAGTTTATAAAACAGCTCCAATTAGGAAGAGATTATTTGTGCTACCAGTACTGTACAGGTTGAAGGACTTCTAAGCTGTTGTAATTTTTCAATGAGAAGTATGGTGATGAATTAATTGTTTATGCTTTCCTTACCATTTTCCGTCTTCTACTTTTTTCTTTTTCAGGTTTCCACAGCTGGATTGTCGACCAGGGCTCTTTGTCACCAATGGCCATAAAACTTGTTTTCAGGGGGTCACGGTAAGTTCATGCGGATTGTTACTTGATTTATTATTTCATTTAGGTTGGATCTGCAATTGCCTCTTAAATGTTTAACACTTTCTTGTTGCTCGAAATAAATAGCTGGGTGTAGTTTTTTTTCTTTTATAAATGATCATTAATGAAACAATCAGTGCGGATGAAATCTCCTATAAAAGCTTTGTACAGTCCTGCTTTTGTTAACATGTGAAGAACATATTCAAATGTGATGTGAGACTCGAGTATATGCACATGTTTTGCTAATGCTCTTACATCTGTGGAGTCTGTCTATAACACACAGTTCTTTCTTAGCAGTAATTAATCTTCTACTGCAACAAAAGGTTATGTGTCATTGTTGACACGGGTTTAGTAATATCTGTGGACAGAAAGGGGACGAGAGGATGCAGTAGTGTTGGTGGGCTTGTTCTGAGCAGGGGAATGCACAAAGGACCAGGAAAAGACCAGGGAGAAGTCGATGCAGGTCTGAGTCCATGAAGCTAAGAACCGAAGCTTTAGCAAACAGCCAGGGCCACAGCAAGTTTACAGCACTGGAGAGACGCACTTTCTGAGAGCCGCTGCTGGCCCACATGGCCCTCTGGGCAAATTAGACAAAAGTGCCCCTTCCACAACATGTTTTCCTTCTATCTGATGGACAAGTGTTGGGCTGTCCTGATTTTTCGAACAAGACACTTTATTGTTGGAAAGTTGTAATGCCGGTAGTCAGCTTGCCCATCTTGCAGGGATCAGAGTTACGATGAGAACATGGGCAACTTGCAGACTCGTCACTGTGCATGTGACGCAGTTGGTGCCCTTGTGCAGTGTACAACCTGAACAACCAGCAGGCTGGCTCTGCACTGCGGGGATTCAACCCCTGACAGCCTCTAAGGGAGGGAGGGTTTTTTGTTAAATTCTGGTGACAGGGGGAGAGGGAGTAAAGCAAGAGTTGGCAAGATGGCTTTGATTGGAAACTTGAGTGACCTGAAAGAACCCCTAAAGTAGCTTCTACAGATTTGGATCATGAAGGGGGTAGCTTGAGATTTCTAGGTGTAAAACCAGGAAAGAAAAACCTAAACTATGTTTTTTTTTTTTTTAAAAGATTTATTTATGTGAAAGAGTTACGGGGTGGAGAGAGGGAGAGGTTGATCAATCTATCTATTGATCTTCCCTCCACTGGTTTACTCCCCAAATGGCTGTACTGATCAGGGCTGGGCCAAGCCCAGACCAGGAATTGGTAGCTTCATCTGGGTCTCCCGCATGAGAGCAGGGGCCCAAATACCTGGGGCATCTTCCACTGCTTTCCCAGGCCATTAGCAGGGAGCTGGATTAGAAGTGGAGCAGCCAGGACATGAACCGGTGCCTGTATGGGATGCCTGTGTCGCAGGCGGCAGCTTTACCCGCTGTGCCTCAGCTCTGGCTCCACAACCAGATGTATGGCTGAGCTCTTGCCCTTTAGTGATAGACATTATGTACTCTCAGGTCCCCCTACTGTCGGCTGTGGTAAGCTTTTTTTCCATGGATCACCGTCTATGTGATGCTCTTATTCTCAAAGATGGCTTAAACTTGAAGGTTTTTTTTTTCCTCCAGTTAAAGGGAGCTGCTTTCAGAATGTTGACTGTGTACAGATTTTTGTAATTAATGTAGATCTTGGTTGGCAAATACAGGGGAAGGGGGTGAGCAGTCCTGTGGGGTCAGGTACTGGGTTGCCAGTGGCTGATTGGAAAGTGACTGAGACACAACCAACAGATACAGGGGCAGAACTTGCAAAGTGTAAACAGGTGAAGGTGATGGTGATGGTGGCCGGGCTTTTGGGTGGAGGTGGCGGTGGCTGGCGCTGCAGGATGCTCCGGATATGGGGGCTGTAGGGGAGTCGGCAGCAGCTGTCCTGGTGGTGAGGACTCAGAGGTAGCAAAGGCATGGCACCTGGCCAAGCAGCCTGGCCATAGACATAAAATCTGTGGCCTGAGAGAAAGCGTTCGCTTCCTTGGGTGCTGAGGACAGAACTGGTCAGGGGGAGATTCAAGGGGCCTCCTTGTTTTGTGGAACACAGAGGTGGTTTTCTTGTGTTGTTTATGCGGCTGGCTTTATTCCCTGAGGGACAGCACTGCACCTTGTGAATGACCCCAGGGGCCTCAGAGAACAGCTGTACTTCCAGCAGGCACTGGCGTTTATTTCTTCTACTCTATCTCACGTCCTGTAATTTCTCTGTCTGTCTCCCTTGGTCTCTGTCTCTCTCTCCTTCTTTCTTTTTCACGTCTGTGGTGGGGAATTTGATACCCTGAATTCTGGATGCACAGACACATGATCAATTAAGGCAAACATTTATGAGATTTAGGCTGAAAACCTGATGTTATTTGCACCTTAAACCTCCCCTTTCCCCTAAATACCCCAACACAGGAATGCTCTATGTTTGAAGGAAGTATTTTGTAGGGTTTGTGTTTATTTATTTTTTTAAAATAAGTATAGGGGCAAAAGGAAAAGGAGAAATAGGATAAAGATTTTTTTATTAATCAGTTTCCCCCTGGATATTTGCTTAACTCTCTGTCTTACTTTATGAATATTCTATTTTTTCCCCTGTGTCTTTGGAGAATACCGAAGGGTGAGCAAATGAAGATGTTTTATCTCTGATGTTTAGCACCTGTGATATTGAGCTAATAATTTTGTCTTCTATTTTTTCCTACCTTTCAGTAGGGAGAATGAGATTTGTTCTTGGAAAACACTGAGGGAATATTTGTGAAAACACCAACTTAATGAATGTGAAAATGAAACGGGATGAAAGGTTTGATGATGATGATCATGTGTTCTCACCATCATTAATCATCGTAGTTTTTAGATTGAGATAATTCATCATTATATGCGACAAATAATTGGCCTGGTTAGTCTTTTTTTTTAAGATTTATTTATTTGAAAGGTAGAGCAAGAGAGAGAGAGAGAGAGAGAGAGAGGTATCTTTCACCTATTGGTTCACTCTCCAAATGGCTGCAATAGCTGGGGTTGGGCTAGGTGGACTCTGGGAGCCAGGAGCTCTTACACATGGATGGCTGGGACCCAAGTACATGGACAGCCCATCCATTGCCTCCCTAGGCACTTAGCTGGAAGCTGGATTGGAAGCACAGCATCCAGGACTCTAACCCATATCCCAGGTGATGGCTTATCCCACTGCACCACAACACAATGCCGGCTCCAATCCTGGTTTTTTTTTTTTTTTTTTTTTAGATTTATTTATTTATTTGAGAGGCAGAATTACAGAGAGAGAGAGGTCTTCCATCTGCTGATTTACTCCCCAAATTGCCACAATGGCCAGAGCTGGGCCGATCCAAAGCCAGGAGCCAGGAGCTTCTTCTGGATCTCCCATGTGTGTGCAGGGGCCCAAGGACTTGGGCCATCTTCCACTGTCTTCCCAGGCTTCCCAGGCTAAGGAGCAGAGAGCTGGATCAAAAGAGGAGCAGCCAGGACAGGAAGCGGCGCCCATATGGGATGCTGGCCCCGCAGGCAGAGGCTTAACCTACTATGCCACAGTGCCAGCCCAATCCTGGTCATTAAGAAGAAATCCTTTATGGTGGTCACGTGAAGATGGGCAGATTCTGCAACAGAAGAGATTTAGACATCATGGAGAGCATTTTGTGCAGGGCAGTCAGTGAGTGATCCTCTGCCCGAGGCTTGTAGGTTGGGTACATGCTGTGTGTGCGCTTAATGGGATGGAATGACCCCCAGGTGTGCAACCGCTGATGCCGTCTCCCACGATGTCAGGTGCGGTCTTGGCCTCCGATGCTGCTCAGCTGCTCCGTATGGCACACTGCGAGGCAGGTGCTCCTTCCGTCTCACTCGCCAGCTCCCCGGTGTGAACTCAAGCTGGGGCTGCAGCCAGGATCCCTGTCGTCCCTGGGCTTCACTGTCTCCTTGGGCCAGCTCTGCTCTTCAGGGTCGTCTTCTTCTTTTTAATTTTCATGTCTCAGATTCTGTGTGTTTCAGATCAGCCTTGTTATCCCCCAACTCTGTTTTTAGATGGAGCCGATAATTCTCTTATTAGAGGCACCGGCTGAACCAGGCCACAGGCTTCCCAGACGCCAGCGTGCAACAGCTCGTGAGATGCGCGGGTCGGGGGGCGGCTGGCCACAGGTTCTTTTCCAGGGACCTTAGAGATTTGTAAAGGCCACCCCCCCCCCCCCCGCCAATGCCGGGTCCTGTGATTTAGGACTGAAATATCCTCCCATGGCGAGCAGATGAAGAAACACAGAGCTGTGTGTGTCTTTTGTTCTGCTTTCCAGGTATCCTCGAGAGTAGATTAGAAGCATCAGAGGTTCGGAGTCTGTTATTCCAGGGAAGGTGAGGGTAATCTTTTCCCTGCTCTGAATTTTCTTTACATGGAAAACACAGGAGAAGAAAAGGCCAAACGCACTTTAATATTTAAGCCCATGGACCCAGAGCCTGGCAATTTAGGAGACTGATTATTGAGGGCAGAGGGAAGGTAGCTCAGTAAATGTCACGTGGGCAATTCTGTTAAGATGACAGAATAGTATAAGCTGCTTTGTTGGCGTTTCCAAATGGTGCATAAGACAGTGCGATTTTCCATGCTCGGCTCTCTCAAACAGGCTGGTGTTCAGCCGCTGTAGTGAGAAATTAAATCTGTGGTCATCTGTCTGATGGGAGGCCAGATTTTATTAAACCAGGTCATCAAGGCACACACACAGGGGCCTGGGTCATCTGGCACTGTGTCATCTTTGGTAATGAAGTGGGTAAGCATGCCAGGAGGCAAACAGCATGACTTCCCAAGTGCAGGGAGAAGCAGAGAGCAGGGACCTGCGTGCTGTTCGAAGTGTTCCAGTTCATGGTGACTTGCAACGGGAACCCCTCCCGAAGTTCCTGTACTCAGGCCAAAGGTGGTCATTGTCTTTGAAATCATCACTGAGATCAGAGAAGAGTGGGACATGGGAGAGTTTTTAGTCACGTGTTTTCCGAGTGCTGGCTTCAGCTGGCATGTTTGAGGGCACCATGGAAGCCCCTGC